CCGCTATTTTATGTTGTACGTAGGTACCTGTTATTTGCGCTCTACGTTGTATTTGTTTCATGTTTCATAACCTAAAAGAACTCTTTTAGTTGTATGTGTTTTTGTCTATTGAGTCGGGTATTTATAATAATTCTGCATTATTATTATTAAATAATATGTCGGTGAAGTACATTCTCAAAGTTCGCCCCTAAAAACAGTTTTTTGTAAATATCTGGGGTTCTAATCAATATTTTGGAATAAAACAACATGCAAAATTACTTCTTATAAAAAAACAGATGTTTCATTAGTGATTTCGTGTTTGGGGGTTGCTACCCTTATTTTTTATTTCAAAAAACTATATTTTTCAAACATTTTTTGTATATAAAAAATTCATATTTGTTAAAAAAAATTAAAAATATAACTTGTGTAAACAAATGTAAATGTAAACAAAATTAAGTTCTCGAACAACCTCCTAGTGAGCGAAAAATGTCTATACGATTAGAATTAACATTACAAAATAAAAAGTGTTTACTTTTTTTCTAATCATACGAATAATTTGTTCTATCAGCCTCAAACGGATTTAAACGGATGCAAACTACCCCTCATGTTCACCCCCAAAAACAGTATTTCTGTGACATCTCGGGTTCTAATCAATATTTTGGAATGAAACGAAATGGAAATTATTTCTTATAAAAAAACAGATATTTCACAAATAATTTTTTTTCTATTGGTCTAAAACGGATTTAAACCGATGCAAACTACCCCTGCTGTTCACCCCTCAAAAACGGGTTCGGTAATTTCCATTTTGTTTCATTCCAAAATATTTATTAGAATATCACGGATATACTGTTTTTGGGGGTGAACATCAGGGGTAGTTTGCATCTGTGTAAATCCGTTTTAGACCAAGAGAAAAAATTATTCGCATGATTAGAGAAAAAGTAAAGACATTTTTCGCACACTAGGGGATTACTAGGGGGTTGTTCGCCACCCTAAAATGAGAAATTATTTTTGTCAATTTGTTTACATAAATCGTATTTTTAATATTTTGAATCAATATGAATTTTTTATATATAAAAAATGTTTGAATATATACTTAGTTTTCCTGAAATGAAAAATAAGGGTTGCAACCCCCAAACACGAAATCACTTGTAAAACATTTTATTTTTTTAAAAGAAGTAATTTCCATTTCATTTCATTTCAAAATATTGATGTCACAGAAATACTGTTTTTGGGGGTGAACATGAGGAGTTGTTTGCGGCTAATAGAACACATTATTTGTATGATTAGAAAAAAAGTAAAAACTTTTTATTTTGCAATGTTAATTCTAATCGTACATACATTTTTAGCACACTAGAGGGTTGTTCACCCCCTAAAAAGAGAACTTAATTTTGTCAATTTGTTTACATAAATCATTTTTTATTTTTTTTAACAAATATTTTTTTATATATAAAAAATGTTTGAAAAATATAGTTTTTCTGAAATAAAAAATAAGGGTAGCAACCTTCAAATACGGAATCTAATGTGAAACATTTGTTTTGTTTTAAAAGCAATTTCCATTTTTTTTTTCATTCCAAAATATTGATTAGAACCCCAGATATTTAGAAAAAACTGTTTTGGGGGGCGAACTTTGTGGATGTATTTCACCCCCTAAATATGTTTTCCGCTGATAAAAAAATATGTCATTAAATTTTTTATGTTCTACAACAGTCTACAACATATAAAAATATTGGAAATCGGAGAGTTGGGGTTTGGGTAGTTTCCTTGTTAGATAGATCCTTCTTCGTTTGATTTAACCTAACAATAATTTTAGGGTAAATACTTACCTATACCGCATATCTAACCCATATGCGACACTCCTTTGATGTGGCGTAAATGCCGCCGTTGACCTCGTCCCTTTAAATTTGATGCTAAACGTTGCCAGATTGGGCAATAAAAATTTATATCCGAAGAAAGTGTTGTCGGTTCGAAATATTGAATAAACATGAACATAAAATACTTACACCTACATTTATCACAATTGTTACTTAATTAATAAAGTGTCTGTCTAAACGGGATGATAAATTAGATAACTAATGTATTAAAGTAAAATTGCTAAGTGTTTATTATTTTTTTGTTGAAATAAAATACCTAATAACAAATTACACATATTTAATTTTTCATTTTTTTTTATTAGAGGTTTACTAAAATTTTGATTGATAGATTTTATGTAGTAGTAAATTCGCAGAATTACAAGTTATTTTATTAAATAGCTCAGTTAGAGTAAAGAATATAGAAAATATGTCATTTTAGGGATAGTAAACTTCCAAATGGTGTTACACTAGTTATGTAAATTTGAAATCGTTTTATCCATGCATTATTAATTCTGGGCGTCCACATTTTTCTATCGACATTTAAAAGAACAATTTATATTATAAAAATTGAATTTTTAAACAATTTTTATAAGAAATTTAAATTTATCTATATAAAAAGTACTTAATAATTATACAATTAATTGTTCTTCTTTAGGAAAGCGAAAAAAATGTATGTTTTTATTTTCTTTCTTGCATTTCCGATACTGA